TTTCATCTTTTGAAGGTTGCTGACAAGTAAGCTGATGATGGGTTTAACTTCCTGGCATGTGCCACTATCAATTTATCATCGAAGTGAATGAACGCATCGTAATGGGGCTGATAATTCGATTGCAGAGTTGAACCTTTTGTCAACTACTGCAGTGTTACTTCCTATGATGATCAACTAATTTCTTGAAAAAAGGGCAACAACACTTCCGACGATAAATAGTGAAAAATAATCATCTAAAATTATAGTAAAAAAAGTGCTCTGATAATGACAGTTTTGTTTAATTCTTCGTGCATTCGCTCCTTTATAATAGGATGATGTAATTTTTCAATTTTTTTCCGAGATTTTTTTTTTTTTGTTTTTCTCCCAGTCCATCACTTCTTCAAATCAACATTTCAACCAAACTAGCTCCTTCACGATTTTCTGTTCCATTTTGATGACTAGCTAGTAGGGGCGCAAAAAATTCTTTTAGAAATATCCGGATCGCCAGCACTGGCGAAGTAACTTGGTCAAAACAATTGTCAAAGCTACCAGCTGCACAGCTAGACAATCACAGAAGCTCTTTAGGCACTCCAAGTAATCTCTGCGCGAATGGTGCACGTGAGTTACGTTTACGTCACAAAGCAGCCTATACGTATAGCACGTCGCGATTCTAAAACGTTCATAAATACGTAGCCGTATCTTTTCCCAGTACTTTTTGAACCGATACAGCAGGATGAGCAATGAAACATGTCTTGATATCAATGCTGAACTGTGGAGGTATCGGCGTGATTGGAGTACCCAGCCATCGACAATATTCATTTTTGCCTTCCTCTATGCAGCAATTATTGTTATCGGTATCCTGGGCAATCTCTGCGTCATACTGGCCATCTCAAGAACCAGGTTTGCCTTCGTTGTTTTGCCACTCGTAATCTAAACAGTAAAAGCAATAGAAAAGAGCAACTTTTGTTTTAAACTGGTGAAGCCTCGAACTGTGTTGGAGATGAGGAGAAAATATGAAGACCTCCCGGACATCACTATGAGTATTTCTTATTCGTGTTACTACCCTCATTGGTGATTCCACACGCTGGACGCAACTGCGCCAGGCCCTTCAATGAGGGAATATTCCAAAAAACTGAAGTGTAAACATGAAGATTTAGGCACAAATACGAAAAAATTTATCCAACATGACAAAAACTTGACGATGGGGATAAGAAGACTAGCCAAAGACCAAAAAGCAGGTTACCTCTAAACTAAATTGAAGTGGAATTTATTAGTCCACGAATGCTGGAAAAAACATGTTCATAACCCCGATCGGAACAAACCAGATTTACCGGTGCGATAATGTGTTTTTACGCAGGACCTGAAGCAGTCGTCAGGTCATTCACTACATGAATGATTGTTGCTTCACATTTACTTTAAGCATCTTTAGCTTAAATCGTCTTAAATTGCATAAAGAAAAATGAACAATTTCCGTTTAACGGCCGTTCTTCGAAAGTGACCAATTTTTTCGCCGAAAACTTTAAGTGCCCCTACAATGAGGACCACGCATACTTGAGAGGCTGAATTTGAAAGCTTTAATTTATAAGTGGAAAGGGAATATCCCCTCTTCAAGACTTACGTACATTCCTTTTTAAAAAATCTTAACACCACACAGCCGTCGCACCAACGAGTCTCAGCTATGAAACAGAATAGAAATGTATGCAATTTGATGCAATGAAACATTCCTGCTCCGTTGGTCAATTTTTTATATTTTGTATGTTATCATTATAAACTTCACAGGGCGTGAATTATGACGCTTCAGGGCTAAGCCCGCCAATTTGGTTGTTACGTTTTTCAGGACACTGCAGACGGTACCAAATATGTTTATTTTTTCGCTCAGCTGCTCCGACCTTGTGGTGTGCTGCACATCAGCCACAATAACGCCAATTGCGGCTTTTAAAAAAGAGTGGATTTTTGGTGCTACGCTATGCTCAATAGCTCCATTTATTGCTGTTAGTCCTCTTTTGCGACCATTTACAATAAGCATGATTTATTCGCTGGCCAAGTTTGTCGAGTTGAAAAGTGCTTCTCAGAAATTAGGCAAAAAACTCGTATGTGGCCTCACACCAGAAGTCAGGAACAAGAATACGTCAAAATTCGAAAAGCTTAATTTCGAGCACCAATAGAATTCCGCAAATTGGGCAAATTTTTGTTATATAGCTTGGTTTGGAGATGTGCATAAAATTTGTTATTTTTTGAACATTGAGGACCATTAATTGGGTTGCAAATTCATATACGGCCCATAGTTGAGCCTAGGAACAAGAATAAGTTCCTGTCGTGGTGGCATACCTCGCCGGTGGAGAAAACATTTTTCTAATACTTTGTTTCGATGATATTTTTATGCA